AATGCCCTGACTTTCCACATCCATGACAGAGATCATTGTTCCTTGTTTTACTGGAACTGTCCCACTTTGGTATGCCACCATTTCTTCGAACAAATTTTTGAAATTTCTTAGTAAGATAGGCCATGTCACTATCTTCATCACTTAAATCACTCTGTTCAGCTTTAAGCACCGGGTTCTTTTCCTTCTTGGGCTCTCTTCTTTCACTCTCTTTCTTTATTTTCATCTCGTAAGTTGTCAGATTACCAATCAGCTCATCCATGGTCAGATTCTGTAGATCTTTAGCTTGCGTGATGGCATTTACCTTACTTTCCCAAGACCCAGGTAGGATGCTGAGGATTTTCCTTACGAGCTTGTTTCTGGGAATGACATCTCCCAGTGAATGAAGCTCATTTATGATGGAGGTGAATCTAGTGTGCATATCTTGTATAGATTCATCATCCTTCATCTTGAAGAGTTCATATTCTGTGGTGAGCATGTCAATCTTGGATTGTTTGACCTGAGTGGTTCCTTCATGAGCGGTTTGCAATGCCTCCCATATTTCCTTGGCAGTTTCGCAAGCTGAGACTCTGTTGTACTCATCAGGTCCTATGCCACACATCAAGATTTTCTTGGCACGGTAGTTCTTTTCTACAGCTTTTCTGTCAATGTCGTTGTACTCTCTTCTTCCTTTCGGCACCATATGCCCTGTTTCTTCAATCTTCTTCATGGGAACATGTGGACCATCACATATAATGTCCCACAGCTCTGAATCTTCTGCCATAATGAAATCATGCATCCTGGTCTTCCACCAGCCGTAGTATTGACCATTGAATCTGGGAGGTCTATAGGTTGATTGTCCTTCTTCAAAGCTTGGTGGAGCAGCCATTGAGGATTCCTCCTAGGTGTTAGCCTGATAGGAGAAACCTGCTCTGATACCAATTGTTGACTTATGTGAGTCCACCAAACTATAGAGTACCTGGTCCTCTATGAGACTGATACGTAGAATGCAGTAACGACTGAATGTAAAGAAGGCCAGAGATTTTCTACGTGGAAAAATCCCACACAAGGGGATCAAAAAACCACGACCTACACCTGTAGGCTTTAAACTCAACTAACTTGTAATCTACTTATTACAAGCCACTTTGCAAACACCCTTTTGCAAAGACTTCAAACTAACTTGTGATGCACCACCACAAGCCACTCTATAACTCTCCTAGTTACAGAGGATTTAACTTATGCCTATTCCTAGTCACAACATAAACTCTAAGGTTTACAAATTTGGTTTGTTCTTAAGACAACGCTTCTAAGAAAGAAAACTAGGAATTACAATGTAGAACAATTAACAAGATTACAACTCAACTATGGATGTACATAAGACTCGGTTAGAAACTGATCCTTAGGGGAGTTGTCTTCTTATTCTTGACACACCAGTGACTTCAATGCTAGATGAACTTTGTTATGCTTGAGAGAATATCACTGAATGCACAAAGAATAGTATATCTTGCACCAGGTTGTTTTATCACAAAAGATGTCACAATAGATAGTGATGTCAACTCAAGGTGTATACTTCTTCCCAATGAGAAGTGACTGTTGTACAATCTGCACAGCCACTTCTGGGCAGTTGCGTTCCAGCTGGATAGTGGGCTTTGTACTTCCTGTCAGGACACACCAACAGACCAGGTACTAATTGTGTTCCTCTTCTGTACCAGTTGCCAGATGGTTACTTTCTTCTGTCACGTTCCAACTGTGTACTTGACTTGTACTTTTTGTCTGAGAACCCTAAAGCAGCAGGTCCCTGTTGTGTTCCTCTTTATCTTGATTGCGTACAGTCACTGACTTGCTTGTGTCGAAGAACCTTAAAGGGCCAGATCATCAGGTCCCTGTTGTGTTCCTCCCTTTGCTGATTTTCAGGCTTCGATCAGTTCATATGAAATGTATATCCTGTCTGTCAGGTGCTCTATCTGGTTCTTCATGACAAGTTTGTTAGATCATCAAAACATAAAATACTGAAAACCCATAATATACTTATTACTCTCATTTTATTTAATAAAAAAGGGATTTAGTAAAAAGTAAAAAAAAAATTAAATTACTATAAACTAACGAAAACAAAACACAAAAATAAAATAAAATTGAGCAAATCTTAAAAGATACAAAATGAACGTTTTTCCTAACTAAAAACCCACGATTACCTCCTCCCAA